TCATATATGGGGGGAGCTCATCTGCATTCATTTCTAACAGATCTATACATTGACTCTTAAATCTCTCTCTGAGTCGATACCGTTCAACTCCCCATTCGCTTCATCGTACATTGAACGCCCTTCCCCCTGCACAGATATATTTTACGCCTCTTCCCGACGACTATCATTCGAACCCATCCTCCTCATAATACATTTTGCCCTCCCGCTCCAAATTCTGCTCAATGACGTTGTTGATCCCTTCCCCCTGAGGGCGAGTTGCAAGACTCTCGATGTTCATGTCCATTCTACGGACTGAGGCGGCAGGTTAGAAGAGGGAGGCGCCGACAGACAGAGGGAAGGCGTTGGGTTCGAAACCCGCGGCGGCCCAAGAGAGGAACAGAGTCAGAACAAGCAACAATCACAGCATAAAACAAAAGCAGGTAATATTAATTCATTATATTATTATATTTATTTTTGTTAGTTGTGTTGTTGTGTTGTATAATGATTATCTAATGATTACTATATTATCATCATCCGGGTATCGTCATGTAAATTAAGGTTATTGACACCGCATTATCACCTAATTATAATTAATGAATCAAAGGGCAAATTATAGGAGAATTGATGAGTTTGATGTCCGGCTGTTTGTGCGGCTGTACGCTAGTGGCTGAATCCTGCTGGCATCGTCTCGTACTTGGGATGACATTGCCCCATTCAGATATCGGCCCGGTCGTACGTATGGCGCGACAGCTGGCCGCACCCATACCGTTACCGGCGCAAGACAAAGGAAGCGCTTTTGTTTCAAATCGCCTAATCGGATCCTCGCCAGCATCAAAATTTCATGGCAAATAAATTGCGTGTCAATTGTTCATGGGCAGCTCGGCAGCAGCAGCGACCCATGAGCGGGGCGGCGCGACGGCCGCCACAAGCACCCATCACCCAGATGGCTCGTCTGACTCCTGCAGCTCGACGCCGACCGAACCATCTTGGATAGACCTTTGACCTCCGTTGATGCGCAAGGTAGATTAGTCGCGCTTGGAATCGCGACGAGAAGGTCGCGCTCGGTTTTTTAAGCGGCAATTCGAACCACGCGCGATTCCGTGATGGCCACCGATCGTTCAGTGGATGGCAAGGTCAGCGTGGAGGTCACGGTCACTCTTACTCGGTCCGGCCACGCGCGCCGTAGTGAATTGGTTTCTCTCTGCCTACCTCTGCTCATCCTCCCCCCTACCGTCTCTATCTCTCTCATCATCGCCTCCCTCCGCTCAATCTCTCATCCCCCCCTGACTCTACATCTCATCCGTCTCTCTCTCTTTCTCATCTCTGTCCCTCTCCTCTTCCTTATCATCTCCTGCCATCATCCCTCCACCCTCTCACTCTCACCTTCTCCTCATCCCCGCTCTGCCGGCTCCCCTCCACCTGTCTGTTCGCTCTCTCCTCTCTCGTCCCCCGCCTCTCTCCTCACCTTCCGCACTCTCTGGACTCTCACCTCTCCCCCTCTCATCTCTACGCTTCCCTCTCTCTGCTCTCCTCTCACCGCACTCTGCACTCACCGGCCCTTCCTCTCTCATCCTCTCTCTCCTCTGCTCCCACACCGATCGTATACGTGAGCCGGCAGGTGGACTGGTTGCGCACGGCCGGCGGGCGCCGGCGGCGGCGCGGTGCGGAGGCGGGCGGTGGCGCGCAACCCCAGCGTGTGGTAGGCGGAGAGGTTTCAGACGCATCGCGTCCATACGCGTGTCGCAGCCATGAGTCGGACGGCTACGAAAACACTTTGCACCATGTGGTGCGACTGCCTGCCATTCTACATGCGTGCGTGGGTGTGTGTGCAGTGTGGTGCGTGCGTGTGTGTGTGTGCGTGTGTGTGTGCGGTGCAGTGCTGCTGCCGCGCGTTCGTGTGTGTACTTGTTTGCCGTGCGTGCGTGTATGCATAATGGTGCATGGTGTTTGGCGCTTTTGGTGTGTGGAATACTTGACAACCCTGCGGTGTCATGGCATTGTACGTACCCCGGGCGTGCGTGCGTGCGGTGGTGCTGTGTATGCGTGCGTGTGTGTGTGTATGGTGCGTAGGGTATGTAAGGTATGAAGGTTATGTTTGCATAAATCGCGAAGCGTGACGGGGTGCGTGCGCATGCGCAACGTGTGCATTCTATATATATATTCAGCTGAAACAAAACCCGTGTACCGGACCGTGTTTGCATGTATTTGATGTCACTGTTTACGCGTTTGCTAAGCGCGCAGTGCGTGGCGTTGGCGTGCGTGCGTAGCGTGCGCAAGGGTAATTCGTACGGCAAATGTTATGTCGTCTGCGCGCACAAGCAGCCTTCTGGGTCGAGCGTGAGACGCGTTCGCCATGGCCGACACTGACACGCGTCCCGCAGACGAGTCAACACGGGCGCCCGCCGGTCGCGACGTCTCTAGCGTGGCGAAGAACCATTATAATTTGCGTTCGCAATCGAAAATTTTTAAACGGCATTTACCGTAATCTTGCGCGCGGGGGGAGGAGGAAGGTAGGAGGAGAGAGGGAGGAGCAGGAGGAGGAGGAAGGAGGGGAGGAGGAGGAGGAGGGCAGAGAGGGACGGAGGAAGGAGGAGGGAACGCGAGGAGGAGGAGGAGGAGGAGGGAGGAGGGGCGAGCGAGGAGGAGAGGGGGAGAGAGGAGAGAGGGAGGAGGAAGGGAGGAGGGAGAGGAAGGAAGGAGGAGGAGGAGAGGAGCGAGGGGCGGGGCGAGAGAGGAGGAGAGAGTAATATTTCACTGTATGAAATTCACGGAGCTACTTCTGTTCTGGTTTTGAGTCTGATTCATTTTTGAATTCACGGTGGGTACGGGGGGGGGGGCTTGAACATTACATAGCTACTGATTGTGGACCAGCCAGCATGCATCTGTCTGTTTGGGCTCCGGGATATCGAATGTGTTTACATTAAACGTGCTCGCGGCTCGACGTTATCTCGGCATATATCGAGTTAAGCGTATCACGTCTGTTTGTATAATAAACTCATCTTTTTAGTAAACTTCTCTTTCACTGCACACACGTGTTAAATGCATCTGGTAGCGGCATGGCGCCATTAGACATTGATGCACGTACATTTGAGTAAAATGACTGCATTGTTTTAATTGCAAGTGAAGTCCATGAGACAAGGCTTCGCAGTGCAGGCACGTGACATCAAGGACACCCATGTCGTCGTCATCGGCGGAGGCTACGCTGGTATCAGCTGTGCGTCTGAACTCAAGGATAAGTGCAAGGTGCGTCGCTGTCTGTGACTTGACGAGTGCAGGTGAAATTCAAATGACTCCACCCCCACCCCCACCTCTACCCCCCGATTGTTTCCATTTTAGTCGCTGTTGATTTCCGCAGGCTGTCTCTCACAGTTGTCGCTGGTGAAGTGGCGTGCTTTATCGGTCGTCACGGTAACAGTGGGTGACTCGTGAAGTTTCGGCTCTGCACGTCACAGATGATGGTGTTAAGCGGAAATATGTTATCGGGTGAGATTGGGAGCGTCGGATCTACAATAAACAAACATAGTTACTAGCCTTAGTTTGCCTTCGATTGATCAAATCTGCCTTTTAAGTCTGTGCATTATAATCTTACTGTGGGGAAAGGAAAATCGTTACGATGGGAAAGGTTACAGTATCAGAGTAAATTTGTTTTGTGTGGGTTCTGAGTTGCTATAACAAAATTTTCGTAAACAACTTTCCTCTATCCATAGTTAATAGACATCTATTTTGGCAGAATTAAGTAGAGTTTGTCTTGTAACTCTAGCGTCTGCCTAATCCATCTGTCAACAACTATTATGATTATACAGAGCTGGTGGTAGTGTTTATATATACAGAACAATCTGAAAATTCAGAAGTTTGACTTTGTTTCTATGAAACCGGAAATAAAAGGTTATGACCCAAACAGGGATCCAAATTCGCATCCCAAAAATTAGGAATTTGATTCAATAATATCAAGAGTAAGATAATATGGGTTATTAAATGGGTTATTATTAACTTTTGATAATATTCACAGCTGTGGCAGAATTCTTAACAAAAATTAATTCAGCAATTTTCGATATTTTTAACTTGTAGAATTTTCTAGTAGTACACAATAATGTTTCATAATGCCCCATGTGGAATTAAATAAGATTTGCCTGTCTTTTCTTTACGTTTTTTTGTGTGACTGCCTCTCTGTCAGAATCTCTCTGCAGAAAGAAGAATGAACATTTTTGTTGTTAAATAGCGGTGTTAGAGGTAGGCATAAATCTCTCTCTTCCAGTATACGTTAATCGATGCCAAGGATAAATTCCACCACAACTGGGGAGCACAGAGAGCAAGCATTGAAGAGGGTGAGTGCTCAATATACTCACTCATTGCTTACAGAGTTGGCAGCACATTAGCCTTCATATTATCATATTTCATATTGCAACGCGGCTGCGATTCTAGAATCGCAGTCGAAATTGCTGTGAAATCTATATGTCTGCGGGAACGTGCAACTGCAACTCGTAGCGATTCTGGTCGCTTGCAACGAGTTGCAATAATTCAAACTGTTTTGATTTTGAGCAACTCATTGCTCCCAATCGCTCCCAAATTGTTCTAGAAGTAGAATTGCTTCGAAATCGCATGTGTGTGCACACGCGGCGACACATCGACCGATCGCTTGCGGTTGCAGGTTGCAGCGACGAGCAACCAAAAATCGCAATTCTGCGCTAGGCTTAAGCGCGTATCACCGTAGCACCGAATTTTCCTGCGTACCGCTTTCATTGTCATTTTGCGGTGGACACGTTTGGTTAAAGGATCACGATGATTAGCTGATAAAGCAGGGTGTCGTTTCCCCACTACGATTGTTCCGTATTGTAAAGCTACGCGTGCTGCCCGGGTTATGAACCCATTGTTGCACTGTTCAGGTGACTAGCTTATCTACGTGGTGAAAGTTCTAGAACTATCTTGTTGCTAGGCAGAGTCGAGTAGATGTGATTGTAGAGTTAAATGTGCCACGTGTAATATGTAATGTGTGTAATGTGTGTAATGAGTTAGTGAGTAAAACGCCATTGTTAGTGTTACGCACATTCATGAGTTCATTATAATTATTGTGCACTGTTTATGAGAAACCGAGGATGAGCTATTTATTGATCAACGATAGGCAGTGTAATGAACAGCGTCGTAAACGCCTCTCTCCCTCTCTCTTTCTCTCTCTCTCCCTCTCCCCCTCTCTCCCTCTCTCTCTCTCTCTCTCTCCCGAAGTTGCACGCAACACTATATGTTTCATGAGACTTGATTTTTTTGTTTACATGCGTGAGAGTTAGAAATTTCACGACGATTTTACCGCATCTACTCCTAAGCTATCAAACGCAGCTTTTATAATAGGCTAGTGTATGCAGCGTTTGTCGACTGTTCTGTAGTGTAGTAGTATGAATAAGTACTTTTGATTCCACTAGACAAACGTAGCCAAAGAACGCTACTCGAGAATCATTCTGTTCACATGTTGCCTCGCCTAAGCCTCGTGCTATTTTATGTAGGAGTAATAGCCCTAACGGTGCAAGAGAAATGCACCACCCCACTCAAATACTGGCCTACCTGTAATGCCGGTGATATATGTAATATAAGGCGTAAATGTGTAGGCGGCGTGCAGCCCGTGCGGTGCGGGTGTAACCTGTGTGTTGCAGAGGAGCAATTTGAGCCGGTATTTAACGGGTAATTTATCGGCAATTACTAGTGCGAAGAGAGTAGAGAAAGCATTAAGACATTAGTGAGCAGGGGCGTAGCTAGGAGGCTTGGGGCACGTGCCCCCACTCCAACAAATTTCTTGTGGGGCCTCACAGGTGCCCCCACTAAAAATTCATAGCCTTGATAAAACAAATTGAGTGTGGTCGGGAAATGTACGTATACTGTAGGGATAAATAGTACGTTACAGCATGGTTAGTATGCATGTATAAATTGTTATGTAACGTGTGTGTGTGTGTGTGTGTGTGTGTGTGTGTGTGTGTGTGTGTGTGTGTGTGTGTGTGTGTGGTGTGTGTGTGGTGTGTGTGTGTGTGCAGGCGGATTCCAGAGGGGGTTACCACAAAAAAAGGAAAAAATCATACAGCACACACCACGGCACACACACAGCAGACACACACCACAGCACACACAGAACACACACAGTCACACACACACACACACAACACACGCCAGTGCATGCACGCACGCACGCAACGCAACGTCACGCACACACACAACACACGCGCGGGCAGGCGCACACAGACCGACTACACACACACACACACTTCTCTTATATTGTCTCCATAAAAAGATCTTGTTTAGCGCTAGTTTTTCTGATAATAGATTTAACTTATATATATGTAAATTCGTTATAAAAACTTAGAAATGGGCAAAGAGGTTGCGCAGGTGTCCGCGGGGGACCGGATCTGATAAATTTTGGCATTCTAGACATCAAAATTACTGCTCAGATGCTCTCAGAATGCAGCCAATTTATTAAAAAAAATCCCAATACCCCAAAGTGGCCTTCGGCAGCTTTTTAAACACCAG